CTTGAGCATGATTTCTGTGTGAATTCTGCACATAAGTAACACAGGACCAGGAAACCCACACCTAGTAACCATGCTGTCAGTCGAGGCATAGAGTGACAAAGAGCTCTGTTCCTGATCATCTCCACTACCACTATGCAGAGACTGGCAGATGGCTGGAGACAGCTATCCGGTGTCAAGCAAAGCTAGTTACCACAGAGAGTAAATGAAACCTGTGAATGGCAGAGGTCACTTTGCTGAATGCATGTGGACCAAAAACTAAGGCAGGGGCTGGAAAGTGTTTTTCCTTGTAGTAACCTCTCCTCTTCTCCTCCCTCTGTCTTTTCTAGGCAGGACAGGGCTGCTTGCTGATCTCTTGCCCAGTTTTGCTGTGGAGATTATGCCAGGTATTCAGTCATTTCACCCTTCATTTACCCTTCCCCTGTTGCCTTATCTGTCTGTCCATGAACTTCACTGCATGCTCATTACTTCTTATCTATAAGTATCTCCTGTATTCTGGAAAACAAATAAACGTAATCATTTATTGGAAGTGCATGTTGCACTGAGACCTGTTAGACCTCACTTGGGGCCTGGGGAGGAGCGTATTCTGCTGGGCTGCAGAAGACAGCAGTAACTGAGGAAGAATAAGGTCTAGCGTTGGACCGGAAATTCAACTATACATCCATGTATAGTGCGCTTATACTGCTGTGACTGGGTCAAAGGTCCTTCCAAACCAAGAAGCTCAGAGAACTAGCAGGGCCAATTTCCATAGCCAACAGCAGAGAAGGGACTGATATAGCTAGCATCACCTTGGACCCCTCAGGTACCTGTTTACAGGTGGATTAGCACAAGTCTAAAGTGGAGCTTTAGAGAGACATTGGAGAGAGACCTCTGGAGCTGTAGAGAGACATCCTGACTATGGTGCAGTATTCCTGCCATGACTGGGGGTGCCTATTTTATCCATATAAAGTGCCCCTGTGTGCCTATATGAGCCTGGGTGTACACTGCTGTATGCCCCAATGCAGAAAAAACCTTGGATGTGGATTAGTAGGAGAGCAGCTCAGAGGTGCATCCCTCCTAGAGGAGGGACAGTAGGTAGACACCAGGCCAAAAGGGCACTTTTCGTCTGTGCTGCAGAACTAACTTACCTTTGGGGATTTAGCTACAGCCAGATTGCTGGGCTGGGGCATGAAGGCTTCCAGGACTGTACAAGTCTGAGTAGAGTAAGAACTGTTCAACCTAACAGAATCCTAATTTTAGCCTCTTTCTCACCCCCAAATTGGAGCTAGTCTGAGACTGTCCATTAGAAGAAAGAAATGAGAAGACATACAGCCCTGGGCTCATCTGAGATGACTATAGTCTGATCTTCACTACAGATTCTCCTACAAAAGAACATGACTAATTACATACATGAAAGGGAGGATAATCTGTTTCTGAGACCCAAATGGAAAGGATGGCAAAGACCCTCATTTTAGCAATTACACTGGAGCCATCCAAAGGCTGACTTGATAGGAGATTGAGAAATAACCACAGGGCTTGATATATCACTGTTTTCCATCTTCTGTCACCACTTACACCAGCAGTTCTCAACTTTTTAGACTCAAGACATCCTTGTTAGACTTGAGGCAGCCCATGGAAAATGCCAGCTCTAAGTTTTTGCTCATTTTTTGACTACACAAAAAGAATAGAGCAATTCTCCTGTTGCAGAGAACTCAGACCACAACAGAACAGAATGCTTTAATACTATGGATCCGTATTTGAAATCTCTGGGTTTAGCTTGCAAATCCTGTTTGCACTCACAGCAATGCTAATGTTGTATGGCATCCCATGGCATACTTGAAGGGATCTCAAGGCACCATATGGTGCTGTGGCACCCTAGCTGAGAATCACTGATTTATACCTTTGCAAAGTCAGTGTTAAAGATGACCATATTAATCAGGTAAAGGGTGCAGAGAAGAGGTGCAGATTTCAGCCTTGTATATCATGAGCATATTACTACTGTTACCTAAATAAACGGTGCAAGATGGGGTCAGACACCTGCATGTACAAAATGTGTATCAGTAGGTTTCTTGATAGTGAGGACACTTAGATCTGGTAGTCATTTGAGCTTCAGTGTCACATAAATTTAGTCCAGGGGTGGGCCATTATTTCAGGCGGATGACCACTTACCCAGTTTTGGCAAGCTGTTGAGGGCTGTGTGGGTAGCTCTGTCCCTTGACAGGTGCCTCGCCCCCTGGTCACCATCTTGGAACCAATGTCTCAGGGCCAGCACTGGTGGGTCCCAGAGCAGGGTGTAGGCTGGCAGGGGTCTGTGGAGCCGGACTGGGC